GACCCAAGTACATTGGGCCATTTCCGGTAAAACAAGTAGTCAACGAGGTGGCCTACGAACTCGAGCTTCCGCGGACCTTCAAGATACATCCTGTGTTCCATGTATCTCTCCTGAAGCCATCCAGACCGGATCCCTTCCCGGACCGTGAATCCAGACCTCCCGAGGCAGTCACCATAGGTGACCAGGAGGAATATGAAGTGGAGACTAACCTCAGTTGCTGAAAGAGGGGGGGCCAGACACAGTTCCTGATAAAATGGAAGGGTTATGGCCCCGAGGAGAACTCGTGGGAACCTGCCCAGAACATTCACGCACCCAGGCTCATCCGGGAGTTTTTTCGTAGTCACCCACGGTGGAGAGATCAGTGGGGCTCCGGAGGGTGCCCATTGGGGGGGGCAATGTCAGGGATCGCGGCTCCGGAGTCCTGGATCGCGGCGCCTTCCCCTGCGCATGCGCACTGGCAGCAGATCACGCCGGGACACAGGCACTAGGTCCCGGCGAGCCGCGGCTGACAGGACGCCGCGCATGCGCAGTAGAGAGCCGCGGGCGCGCCTCAGGCGTCCAATGATAGCCGGGGGGCGCATCCTAGCCGGCCAAAGACAGTGCAGGGCGCACTATTTAAAGATGCCCTGCACTGTCACAAATTGCCGCAAGGTCTTTCTGTGATCCTGAGTTCCTGCACCCGTCTTGTGACCCTAATTGACCCTGACTACGCTGCCCCGCTCCTGTGATTGACCCGGATTGCCCTGACTACGCTGCCTGCTCCTGTGATTGACCCGGATTGCCCTGACTACTCTGCCTGCTCCTGTGATTGACCCGGATTGCAATGACCATTCTATGGACTGACTTACCCTTCTGACCCGACTACTCTTTGCCCACCGATTCTGTACCCCGCTTACCCCCACGGGACCATGATCCGTTACTACCCTGCTGGGGCCGCCATCCTCTTCACATCTGGCTCTCCCGGTACCTGCATACGTCCCCGGAGGTCTCCTCAGCCACTGTTGGGCCTGCTCGGAGGTCGTGACCTGGCCCGGGACTGTTTCAAGTCCATCCCCACCATCAGGGGCCCTGGTGAAAGCACAGCCCGGGCTTAGACCCCACGCTCTGAGTAGGTCTGTCAGTTGGCAGCCTGAGGCACCACCTGGCGGATCATAACAGGGGCAGGTGGTGAGGCGGGCTTCAGAGAAGACCTTAGTGACCTCTTCAGTGGTAGCAAGGTCAAAGGAGTGGAGTGTTGAGGGGGTTTTAGTGTGATTTATAAACTCAGTACAGATTTATCATTTAGATTTCACAGGAATTTGGTTGGGATTGTGTCCATTAATAATGTTTTTAGTGTATTTTTACCATAAATATAATTTGGATATTTTTGCTGGTGGTGTGGAGCCGGTCAGGTATGCTGTACGGGGTACCGTGATATCAAACAGTGGCCCTGGGTGTATGCTTGTGTCTGTGCCACCTGTATAGTTAGGAAGAACAATAACTTCTTCTATGGAATACCTTGAACCTCTGCTATGTACCTCAATACATCTAGGGATCGGACACGTTTTCTCCTGAAAATCCAACAATTATTAGGAATGTTTCTCCTGAAGCAAGCATGAACTAACCCCTTAGTATTATAAAGCAGCCCGAATTCTCATTTTCCCCAATGTACCCAATTATGCATAGGCCAGATCTGTGTGCCCAGATAGGACCTCCCAGTGGCTATTCTATGGACAAGGTACACTTTTCTGTATGCCTGATCTATATTGAGCTGCAATAGTCAATACGTTGCAATGGACGGAAATATTTGGACACAAACCAAATGAGCTCAGGTATCCAAATGTGAATGTTCCTTCATAGCAAATCTCCATAATGTACTATATGGGCCTGGCCCACTCTAAATCAATGCCATGTTCTGGTAGGTCCTCCTATTACAGACTATAGCTACATGTGGAGGAAATTACACTGACTTTTCATCACATTGCATATTATTGGGCCATCTTAAGTCTCAGAAATAGAATCAAGAGGATATGACACTGTTTTAAGGAACCAAAAAATAGGCTTTATTCGACAAAAACACACAAAAAAAAGTCAAATCCATGGCCTGATGGAAAGATATGTCTGCCAGCTCCCATTGTTGTGCAAACCAAAAACTGGCTCCGATGTTTGCCAGCACACGGCTCAAACATATCTAGAAAAATATGGGGACTCCGATATCCGGTGAAAGTTCATTCAGGAAGAAGAAGCAATTGTGCACCTCCCAAAGCAGCATAGAGGAAAGGGATGGCCAAGTTGCTGTCCTGCTTCCAAACCACCTCTGGCATGCCAGGGTCTTTATGCAGGTCCTTGATGCCAGTTCCTGCCTGGTGCCACAAAATATCCACTGGCCACAAAAGAAGGTGAGTGGAGGACGTGAAGGTGGCTTTCTCCCAGCTTGAACTGCAAGCAGTACCACTCCTGTAAAATGAGAGCAAATAATCATTGACACGTCATCATGACAATCACTGCAGTGCAGGCTATCTAGAGTGTTTTTCATTCTTTATCATTTCAGGAGTTGAAGTAAACATTCTTGGAGAATTTACTGTGTTTGGAAAGGCACAAGGTCCCCCCTCCCCCAGGCACACTAATGCATACTTGAAGTGGAGCCCCATCCTGATTTCATGATGGGCTTGAAAAGCTTTGCTCTCTGGGCTCCGTGGCTCATGAGCGAGTCTTCTTGGGCTCACCCCCGAACAAGGTGCTTGTTCTGGGGGCAATGGACAGGAGAGAGGGGCCAAGGAATGCTGGTGTGGGAGCAACTAAATGAATGATCTTGGCTGCTCTGTGACAGATGACTGTTCAGAGCAGGTAAGTCTTACATGTTTATTATTGTATTTTGGAACAATTGTTAAGATCACTTTTCCAAACCCACCTGTGATACCAGACAGCTAATCACAACAGACTTCCCAGGGTCACCATCTGCCTTCTCCTCCAGCTGAAAGAAAAATAAAAACATTTAGATCCATAGCAGAGGTTCTTTTCTTCATAAATCTACAGGTGGCACAGACAATAGGCCAAAACTGGCCAGGTGTTCTACTCCCTCCACTCTCTTGCCCAAAGCACACCATCTATTCATGTAAGGTTTGATTGGCCAGGACAACTTGTTGTCATGTTGACTACACACTGGCTAAAATGGCAAGCACCGCTTTGCGCCTGCCCTATAGCTGATATCCTGCTACAGGGCGGCATGGGTGTGCAAAGGGGTGCACTCGTCTTGGCCACGCTGCCTTTCATGGCCTCGGATGTCAATCCCTGCGTCCCGGCCAGTGATTACTCACCCTGCGTGCTCCCAAATACACATGTCCGATATTCACAGAAAGGTCCCGATCTCTTGTGATTGGGACCTTTACCAATTATGTGACTGCCGTGACAGCAAATCACAGCGGTCACATGACTCTAAAACCCCACCCGCCTCCCAGCTTCTGAAACCCTTAACCAATTCAATACCGGGCAATTTTTACCCCTTCCTGCCCAGGCCAGTTTTCAGCGCTCTCTCACACTTTGAATGACAATTGCGCGGTCATACAACATTGTACCCAAACTTAAATTTTATCATTTTCTTCACACAACTAGAGCTTTCTTTTGGTGGTATTTAATCACCGCTGGGGTTTTTATTTTTTGCTAAATTAACAAAAAAAGACCAAAAATTTTGAAAAAAAACACACGTTTTTCTTTGTTTCGATTATAAAAGTTTGCAAATAAATAATTGTTCTTCATAAATTTAGGCCGAGATGTATTCTGCTACATGTCTTTGGTGAAAATAACCCAAATTAGGATGTATTATTTAGTCTGTAGGGAAGTTATAGAGTTCACAAACTATGGTATAGATCTGAATATTGATGAATCCTGAAGTACTGACAGCCAATCTAATATCTTGAGGTCCAAGAATGTCAGAACAGTACAGATATCCCCCAAATGTCAGGATAGTACAGATATCCCCCAATGTCAGAATAGTACAGATATCCCCCAAATGTCAGGATAGTACAGATATCCCCCAATGTCAGAACAGTACAGATATCCCCCAAATGTCAGGATAGTACAGATATCCCCCAATGTCAGAATAGTACAGATATCCCCCAAATGTCAGGATAGTACAGATATCCCCCAAATGACCCCGTTCTGCAGAGTAGACAGTCCGACGTACTTCATAAGAGGAATGGCGAGTTTTTTGAAGTTGTATTTTTTTTGTCATAATTTTCCAGAAAATGAAAAAATTAAAAAAATATTAGTTTCACTATTTTTTTTTTACATATTGTCACCAGTGCAGTACAGCGTCATCATATAACTGGCATGGCGGTGATCAGGGACTCTGCCTGGTGACAGTATGAAAAAAAAAAATATTTTTTTCTAATGATTTTTTTTTTCATATTTTTACTATGACCAAAGTAGTACAATGTTACCATAGTAACATTGTACTACTTTGGGGAAGTGATCAGTATTTTTTTTTAGAATTACTTTGCTATAAGCAAGCATTTACCTGAATGACATCGATTCATTCAGGGTTTTTTTTTTTTGTGATTTGGCCACAGCTAATCACGACATGTGCATGTGATTAGCTGTGACCATTCACAGCTAGACACTAGTATACAATGGATGGCATAAATTAAGCCATCCATTGTATACAACTGTCCTGTGACCTGCTGTGATTGGTCACAGCAGGTCGCATGGTACCGGCAACGGGGGCCAATACTCAGATCGGTCATTGGCCGTGTCCGAGGTACACGGCCGGTGACAGATCATGCCGCTGCGTGGCTCTGCAGGAGCGCAATCTACGCATGGGCGGGAGGACGCCATATGGCGTCCACCCGGAACGCTGATGACATTTGCCGGCCACCATTCGGCCATAGGGCAGGCGGCAAATGGTTAAAGGCCGGGGAGGCTCCGGCGCCAAGGGGTTAAGATAACGATTGGCCAAGACCAAAACAAGGACCCAATTGATTTCAGGTACAACAAATTTCATCTCTACCTATATTAGAATACGTACATGGGAAGTAGCGGGTGATCAGGTCAGCTCGCGTGGCCATCCCGTCCGCGGTATTCTGCCTTCGGGAGACCCGCAGCTGACGGACTTCAGGCTCCCTCTCCTCAGTCATCTCCCAGGAATCATTCCTCGCCTGGCAGATGTTGTGTAGGAGGCAACAGGCGAGGATGATCCTGGAAGACTTCTGAGGAGAGTATAATAACTCACCCCCAGGCCTGGCCAAACACAAAAAGCGGGACTTAAGAAGTCCTATGGTATGCTCCACAATAGCTCGGCTTTTGGAATGAGCCTTGTTATAGGTAATTTCGGCCAGGCTCTGGGGGTACCTGACTGGAGCCATCAGCCACGTCAGCTGCGGATAGCTGGCATCCCCTGTGAAAAGAAGAACAAATGTGGTCAAGTAATTGCATTAGTATGGTTATACGTGTCTATTTGTGGAAAAAACCAGGCCAGACGTTATACAACTTTCATCTCTGACACCAGGGTCACCAGACATGGAAATGGAGTCATTCATGCAGCACCTAACTCAGTGGTGATGGGAATAACATCTTAATTCCTCTTCTGCCCTGCTGGTGTGGAGGGTGCCAAGCCTTGCCAGCTTGCTGTACACCATGCTTGTAGCTGGCTATACAGCCTCTACAGTTAGGGTGGATGAAGCAGACAGGCTGGGGGCACAGAAGCGGATTGCTATATTGTCCTAATGGAAGTGTAAAAGTGCTGCGCTTAGTAACCCAAAATGCCCAATTCCTGGAGAATACAACTAAAAAGCAGCGTGACCTCATATTATACAATGTTTTGTTCCCAAACGTATGGACTCTGAAGGTCAACTTGCTGAGTAATATCTCCCAGGATGCCCCCTCCCGATAACCACTTAAGGATCAGCCGTAATTCCTGATAAACAAAAGCTCAGCATATGGTTTATTGTGCAGTAAAAGGTTTTAAAGGATAAAGCGCTAGGCTGAGTTTTTGTTTGAGGAATCACGGTGACCCTTAGGTGGTTATCTGGAGGGGGCATCCTGGGAGATCCTAGCCTACTGAGACATGGGTGGTGTGCACTAGCGGCCACAGCATTTATATTTTACTTATTCATATATATTTTATAGTCACCATAGTAAGCACTTGACTTATATTTATAATTTTGCTATATTGTCCTGTTGCTAACCAGGGAGCACACACATTGCTTCATAAACAGTGGCTTCCTGCTGAGTCCAACAATGAAACCTCCCACATCTCTTTCCATGTTAAGTCAATCACTGGGAAGATCATTGTAATACATTTCCTCGCTCTTCTTATGCAGCAGAGAACAGAGGAAATGTGATCACATATCAAAGTTCAAACCGTCCATTATTTCTAAGGTTGGTTTCTACCTAGAGACAACTGATTGCTTTTCTCCATTTTACACAGACCAGGTTTTGTACAATATGAATGTCAAAGCACTTTAGGGCATGAAGTCAGTGTTGGAATACACGGACCTTACTTATCTCTATTCCACATTATCTGCTGATTGGTGCATATATGCATCCTCTTGTTTTAGGGCCTAGAGTCCACATCTATGTGGCGTTAGGTGAACATTTTGCTGGGCTGAGAGGGTGTACCCAGCACAGTCCTCAGTGGGGCCAGAGAAAGGGCTGGATGTATGTGTGCAAAGGTTAGCTTTATGATCATGTGATTGCTGTGATTGGCAAGCATAGTGGACTCATAACCGCAGGGCCTGGCCCTATGTCATCTTTGGGAACATGTATGCAATATTATAGATCATGTGGAGCCACAAACACACACAATACTTTACCAACAAGCCAGCCATCTGGCATTTGGCCACTATGGAACTTTCTGTATACACCCGACTGATGGAGTATAAAGGCATCATGGCACGACCCTGGAAAACCTGAGTGGACACTCATGATACGCTGTCTGGCATCACAGACAACTTGGATGTTGAGGGAGTGGTACTGCTTGCGGTTCCGAAAGTCCACTTCATCTTTCCTGGGGGCTCGGATTGCCACATGGGTGCAGTCGATTGCCCCCAGGATTTGTGGCATTTTGGCACGCAGGTAAAAAGCCACCTTCACATCATTCCACTCGTCTTTATTTTGTGGCCAGTGAATAAATTGGGGCACCAGATCAAGAATGGCATCAATGACCTGCATAAAAACCCTTGAAACAGTTGGTTGACTTATCCCAACAATAAGTCCAGAGGTGGTTTGGAAGCTCCCCCGACCCAAAATAGAGAGCGTCGTCAGCAACTTGACCATCCCAGGTAGAGCATGACTGCGCCGTGTGGTGGGCGCAACCTTTTCCTCTATGAGCTGATAGAGGTGCAGAATTGTATCTCGTCCTAAACGAAACCTACACCGGATATCAGAGTCCTGCATATCTTCCAGATATGTACGTTCTGCAAAGAGCCGTGGATGGCGTAAGTGGAGCAAAGGAGCAGGAGCAGGGGCAGGATCCGGAGCAGGGGCAGGGGCAGGATCCGGAGCAGGAGCAGGGGCAGGATCCGGAGCAGGGGCAGGAGCTGCAGCAGCTTCAGCTGCAGCCACCTCACAAAACGCTTGCACGAAAAGTGTTAAAGCCATGTATAAACATTCCTCATATTCCTCATTTGCCTCGTGATTCATCATCTCATCCGCCATCTACACCCACGAGGCTAAAAGCGCTCTCGCGCGTATATATACTCCACCCGGCAATCACGTATGTACGACAATGGCGAATACCTATAAATGAGAGCACATGGAAAGTCAGCGTTCTCCTAGATCACCTGTCCACATTGACTAGACTAGAGGGAAGCTTACAATGTTGTTACAGAGGACATTTTTACTGACAGTTTTACCTATAAGCAAGAAATAATGTGCTATACAACACCATTACCTGTAGACAAATTGATCCTTCTCTACTTCATTGGCCCATTTTGTTTCTTGTAGCTGTGTTTTTCTTTTCAAATCTTTTTTATTAAGTTTTAAACACAAATAAAATCAACAACAGTGCAGGTTCAAGTTAGAAGTTAAGCACATCTTTTTCTTAGCATTATAGCATACATACATGACCAATATATGCATAAAATAACAAGGGTAGCAAATATAAAGAGGTTATACTTCCAGTCCATATTATCATCACACATATACGAAACATATGTGCATAGCGCTTTGCGGAATCTATTCACATAAGACCCGATAAAGGGGCCCACCCGAACCCGACCTCCAAAATATATACATATAGATAACATGGAGAAGAGAAAGAAAGAAAAAACAGAACCCAGGTGGGAAGAAAAGGGAAGAGAAGAAGAATGAAGAAAGAGCAACCACACGAATAAGAGGATACCAAAACTGTCGTATTATCCTTTATGGCTATCTTGCAGTAATTTCTATACAGTTGATTTAGTCAAGGACTGAATCGTCCAGTGCTTATCTGTTCCTGTCCTAATCTATCATTCTAGCTTTGGAATGTGCGCACACTGGAAGAGACTCACGCTGACACACAAGTTCAGTCTATGAACACTTCTAGTTTATTATAATGAGAAAGTGAACTTATATATGCAGAATGATGCGAGAGTCATGTGACAACAGCATAAGCATTATATTAGTCTTTGATTGGTCATTTCCACACGAAAACAATCTCCGTCATGGTATAGGTGTGATCTTCTTCCAGGTCTTATCTATAGAAAGAAAAACATTCCTTTTGTCTTCCAAATCACACGGTGGGAGGGGGTCGGTGTGTGTGAGCAACCATTTCTTAAGCAAGGATTTCTTGAAGTACCACAAAGCCCAGCAGGCAGAAAATATTCACACAACATATATATTCATGCTAAATATTTTATAAATATGAAGAAAGAGATAGTATTAAAGTATAAAAGTAAATATGTATAAAAATATGTATAAAGAAAAGTGTATATATATATTCAATAGGAAAAGAAATAGGCATTTTATCAAATCCATCACACAGTAATATTGAATGGCAAAGATAATTCTTTCCAATGGAACCACTTTGCATCAAACTTCTCCATAGGTAAGTAAGTAAATATAATGGCGCCTATACCGCGAATGCTCCAGACCACTACCATATTTAAACATCCTTGTATTCGGGCATCTTTACAGGCATGGTATGATCTCATAAGTTGCACTTCAAATGAAACCACATCACTACCTACCCCTATTGCCACTCTCCGAATCATAATTCCCTTTTTAAACCTATTACAGTGGGAACAACGAGGAATCACCCACTTACACACTTATATACAGAAGACACCTTAGATTCCTTCTCCACTCTACAAAGGAAATTTAATCTTCCTGATATGGAACACTTTACTTACTTGAGAATTGCACACTCCCTACAAAAAACAAAGCTCCCACTTATGTTGCACATCCCTACCATTGCGCACAATTTTTTCAATAAAACACAATATCCACGGAAAGGGATTTCTACCTTTTATTGCCAATTCCCAATTCTCCCTACTAACAACTTCTCTAAACAACTGGGAGAAACTTTTCTCTCAACATATTCCGTCACCCACATGGGAAAAATCCTTTACCATTACCTATAAAGCTTCCCTGTGTAGCTCCCACTGGGAATCATATATAAAAATTCTGCACCAATGGTATTTAACACCAGTTAAGCTCTCCCTCTTCTATCCTCAACACTCCTCTGCGTGTTGGAGACAATGCGGAGACCTAGGATCAACTCTTCATATACTTTGGACGTGCAAATCCATCAGATCCTACTGGAGTAGTGTGTTCCACTTGATCTCAACACTGACTGATTCCTTAGTGGCTCCTGACCCTGCCCTTGCATTACTTCACATAGGAATTGGTCAGTTCCCAAATAACTCCCGCACCGTTATCATTCACACACTAGCAGCTGCTAAAATCAATCTCACCAGATTGTGGAACTCTACTAACACTCCCTCTATTACCTCGCTGATAGTGGACCTCAATGTCCAATGTGATATGGAGAGAAGATCAACTCTTAATAACTCCTCATACCATTAGTTCCAATTCCAATGGGCTAGATGGCTACGAAACCCGAACTGCTCTGTAATATGTTGATGACTTATATGTACAAAACCCGAACTGCTCTGTAATATGTTGATGACTTATATGTACGAAACCCGAACTGCTCTGTAATATGTTGATGACTTATATGTACAAAACCCGAACTGCTCTGTAATATGTTGATGACTTATATGTATAAAACTCGAATTTTCTGAACTTTCTCTACTAGACTGGTACGGTGGTATTTCCCCCCTATCTCCATCCTTTCCCTTAACCCCTTTTTTACCCCCTTCTCCCTGCTTGTTATTCCCCTTGTTTATATAAATTATACGAAGGATTGTGGTTCTTTAACTCAATAATCTTCTCAGGTTAAGAT